TGTATCAATGAGAGTCTTGTCTATATAACTGTCAACGCACACAAAAAGATCTCTAAGATTAAAAAAGGTATTCAACAAATACTGGCATGATCGCAAAATTGTTCTTGATTCGCCCCACACCACTCTATCAATAAAAATGACAGATCTATTACACTAATGATTGAATTACATTACTGGTATTATCAAATGTTATTCATTAACCAAAATGCGATTTAGTACTATATGAAGTAGAGTCAATGCAACAGAAACAGCTGATGTGTTATTTTATAACATATTGTCTCAATACATCGTTTTTTTTGAAGAAGAAAAAAAAATTTAACAAAATAGAGATCCTTGAATGTGTGCTTTTTATGTGAGAAATTTGAGATGACCTATTGTAAGAGTTATATATGTATGTTTGATTACTATTGCTCATTTTATCATACAAACTTCACTTTATACTCATTGACTATCGCTTACATTTCCGTACTGTCACTGCAAAAAGCTTCTACTTCTGCTAACTGAATCGTTTTGAGACAGGTTTGTACTATGCATATTCTTGCCGTCATAAACAGCATGATTAATAATGTATGTTGGAATTCTAGAAATAAAGTATGATATCAGGTAAAAGGTGATTTAATAATATGAAAAAAACGCTCTACCTGTACTGTTAATGTTTTTTGTTATTTACTCAGTTTATCAACTGTTGTTGATATGGCAATGGTTGTGATCTTTTTTTATTATCTACATCATTCATATTGTAGAAATAATTTTGAAACGTTAGTTGACGAATGAATTTTTTAAAAACATAACTAATTAAACAGGTAAAGAAAGAGGCTAATCGTATAAACTGAAATATATCTGATACAAATACGTTACTCATCACTCGTGTATATTGTTGTTCAAGCACATAAAAAGCAATGAAAGATTTAAATTTCTATTTTTATTCTAGTAGAGTGAAATCATCAATTGGTTTAAAATGTCTCGAAACAATTCTTCTCGTTCATCTTCACGAACGAATAATCAAGAAACGACACCTACTAAAAGTATAGATCCTTCTGTTACTCCAGTTAATATAACGACAAATAAGACATCAACCAAACATAAATCTGTATCTCCGAAACGTCATGCGGCAAAATCCCGTACTCGTTCTAAATCACCTGTAAAAATTAGACCATCGTACAAACCATCACCTCATCAACTGTCACCCGATCGATTATATCAACGTGAATGGAAACAAATAAGACGCAAACTAGAAAAAAAACAGGAAGAAGAACGAGTTAACAAAGAAAATGAATTTAAATTCCATCGTTTAAATAAAATTTCACAAGAACCAAGTGCTTATCCATCATTATTCCCCCAACAAGAAAAATTACGTGAACGACGAGCACTGGATTATCAACAAAGAGTATTGAAAGGATTGATTCCTGTGATTCGTGAAAATTTGTTTGTTGCTCAACGGTTAGCAAATGTCCGAGGCGAGTATGATGTTAAGAAAATGGAGCAAGATTATGCTAAACATAAAAGTTTATTAATGAAAAATAAGACGATTAAACCAAAAAAATGATTATTATTATTTTCTCTCTGGCGTTCAATGTGCAGATACACTTTTTATGAGGAAGGAGTTTACAATCAAGGCTACAAAGGTTTGTAACGGTTATAGCACTAGTCGTTCAAGCCTTATCTCTAGTTCATTCTGAAAATAATATCTATGTATCTCACTTTTAATCAATATGTTCAACTGATATTTAATTGTTTCTAAATGAACTATTTTGTATTCATATGAACACAAATTAACGTTTAGAGTATCGTGAGCATATAATTCAAGCCTTTTGTTTGTTTTTAAATTACTCTAGTGTATGTGTATATTTTATTTTTTATTTTGTTATAATGTTAAGATCTAATGGTTTAGCATTGTCGTTATTTTTTACTCGAAGATTTTTCAAAACTGAACATTGAGCACAAAGCTAAGGAACGCAAACATGTTGCCTTGAATTGAAAAAACAAATTTCAAATTAATCATTTTGTTCATCTTCCCAAGTAAAAGTACTCCAGCCGAAATATCTAGATGCTTTAGCTGGAGTATTGGTTGATAATTTTTACTCTTTTATCTAGATATTCTAGCTAGAGCATCGAGTTACCTAGCTGCATCGGTCGATGTATTGTCCAATATATGTGAATTCACCGAGTTTTTCCTGATGAAAATGTCAATTCATGTGCAATGCTATCTAGTTGTATCGAAAGAAACATTTATCTGCATCTATATGCATCGATCAGTAAATTGATCGCTGAGATGCATTGAGTGAGCGATACTCGATGTTTTTTGTATGCGTGGATTCGTTAAATGTGATAACACATTATATTACTTTAAATGTTGTAACTTCTGTTCATTTCAAGACAGAATATATTGGACAGTGAATGAAAGAAGTGGGCAGGATTGTTGGCCGACCTTCTTGAGAAGCATCGCCAAGGAGACCGTTTGCTTCTTTCCGCCGCGAAGAGGTCTCCTACCATGAAAAGGCTTTTTTTTATTCTTTTTAAAATTTTTTCCTGGAACTACATTGCGTAGTTAACTAAATTCCGAAAACCAGATAAACATATCAATAGAAATAAAACTTGATTAAACAAACTCTTAGACAAGAAGATAAGTTATTCGGTATTTAGAAAGTTGAAAGGCTGAGACTTTTTATAGTAGTAGTAGACTGTTAGCTTAGTTCTAGAAAAAAAAGTCAGCACCTTATCGCTGCTTTTATCGAGATATGACATTTTTTGTAATATATTGTGATGCTCTCTACAGTGAAATGAGAAAAATTCATAACTTTTGAAAGAAACAACAAGGACCCAAATTCTTTTAGGGCTTTCACTAGGACACTTTGCTCTAACGATACCCACAAGATCACTGAAAATGGAGATGGACATCTGGAAATGTTCTCGCGTAAGCAGAATGAGCTAAGCATAAGGTTGTTTAACCAGCTCTCACACTGCTCGTGAATATTTTGCGAAATATATCCTTTTTCATGATGTATATAAAAGGCAATTAATTGATAGGAATTGATGCTGCCTACCACGGATGTGATGATGAGAGAAGAAAGATTATGCACCTCTACCTTTTCTTTTGCACAACTCACTTCCTCTAATTTTTTTGTTTCTTATAAAAAGCCGGCTAATGAGTTGAATACTACGAACAGCAAATCACCATTGATGTACCTATCCAAATGGATACAGCGATTAAAATTGATATTGATAGTAATCACGCTAAGCTGGATTCTTCTGTACTACTGTCACGTTGTAAGAACAGTCCTAGTCGATTTGTTAGGTTTATATACAGCTCGAATGATAAAGCATATTGCTGGAAATTAGGCAAAGAACTTCAATAAACGATCGTATTGATAAGTTGCTAATAGTCAACGGGCCGAGCGAAAAATAGATGAGCGTTGCTTTTTGTCCATAAAATACGAAAAAATGTCTATTCACTATCCCATATGGAAAGAATACCATTATCAATCATTAATGCTAGAAAGTTTGGACACTTATTTCTGAATAAAAACATTCCCACGCATTTCTTCATGTTAAGGGATAGAGGCCAGTCCAATGACCATTTCTGTACTCATTCGAAGTCACAATTCGTCTCTAGGATCATTATCAGAGTTCCCAGATGCTCAGGTCGGAAATGCGGAATAAAAATTCCAAAATACAGAAAATTGCAGAAAATTTTTCTCAGAATGCGGAAAAAAAGTGGAAACGCATTTTCATGGTCTAACTTCAGTCGTTTTCACGCACAGAGGGTCAAAAAAATGTTTTCTCTAGCACTTTGTGGTTTTATTCAATAAAACGAAAGAGAACAACAAATAGAAATGTAAGTCTCGATTTTAGTTGACACGTTGTTTTTGGACTGTATATTTTTGATTAAAACGAATAAGTTTAAGCAGATCTAGCGCTGATGAGAAATAATTATAAATTGACGAATGACTGGTTACTTAAAAAAACGTAGTAAGAGATACAAAACTGCTGCTAAGAATATAGACTTGCCGTATTTCTGACAAATAGTAGCAGTTTTGTATTTCTTACTACGTTTTTTCAATATTACTGCTTTACCAAAATATTTTATGACTGCCTACTTAGTTGGACAATAGGATGAGAAGAGAATCTTCAATAGATAGAAAATTTTCTTTTTTAAATCTTATATGAACAAGGAAAAAATAGCAAAAGCAGAAAATGCTTAAAATGCGGACCATCTGGGAACTCTGATCAGTATATGTAATATATGTTGATGCATCAACTACAAATAAATATGTATTTAGTGCATGAGGCAAATCTTTTATATATGTTACAGTGGAATTTAAAATTTGAATCTTCACTAGTGGAGTTTAAAATTTCGATTTCCACTGGATTCTTGTCAGTGAAAATTGAAATTGTAAGTTCAACTAGTGGAGAATAAAATTTGAATCTCTACTATTATAGTGGGATTTTAAATTCCACTAGGCAAAAATAACTAACACTCATATTTCAATCTCTACTATAGTGGAAATTATAATTTGCTTGACATGATACTGATAGTAAAAGGAATACCTTTTTTTTATGAAAAATATTATTAATAATCACAAATATTTTTTTAACAACATTAGGCATTTGAACACACACACTTTTTTGGGGGGTGACATTTTGTACAACATTTTACGCCTTTAGCTCGACATGGGCAGCTTTTTTTCGCACAGTCCCGTTTACAATTGCACGCTTCCGCAATTGTATTTCCGCCTGTGCTAGCATAACCTTTACAAGCTTAGATGAATGTAACAACGGGTAAACATTTGTAATCAATAGCACGCAGATCGGCGAAATTGCACTTGGACAAATCTAGTAAATCGTGGATACTAAAAGCAACTGACAAAACACCTGTCAATGTACACACTTTCCCAGGATAATGATTACTACAGCGATAAATGGCCGTATACTACAGTTTATGATAATGGATACTGTAGTATAATCGTCAAAATACGAGCTGTTTACAACGAAATACGATGGCGTCTACCGTGGAGAAGGATTACGACGTCGTATTTTATCTGGAATGGATATGTATTTCGTCGTATTTCGACGTATACTATAGTTTACGGCCGTAGAGCTTCGACCTGGGTTATACAACACTGTATCATCGGACGCTGATTAAATAGATACCACTTTGCATGGTAAAATTCTTGACTTTGTATTCGTACGATCAACTTTATCAATTTTAAGTCCAACGATATCACCTAATTGATATTGTTCTTCACGTAGAGCATCGTCGTAGATCTTGTGTCGCTTTGCAATGCACTTTAAATAATCAACTTCAACTTCCTCCCGAGTTCGTTTGTGCCTGTTTGATCGTTCATCGTCGTCGTCCTTGCTAAAAACATCACTATTTGTGGCAAGGCTAGTATTAGTAGTAGGCCTAGTGGAATTTAAAATCCCACTATAGTGGAGATTCAAATTTTATTCTCCACTGGTTGAACTTAAAATTTCAATTTCCACTGACAAGAATCCAGTGGAAATTGAAATTTTAAATCCCACTGTAATACATACAGAAATAAGCAAGGACAAGCACTAACTCTTGAGGAAGAGAACAAGAGGTAGTAGTACTGTGATCAAGAGTAGTAACAATTTGACGTTTATTAAATAACTCGCGATTCACCTCAGTAGTGAATTAAGAATTCCCACACTATAATTTATACAGCAAAGCATTGTGGTTCACTTTATCAAGATCTTATTGAAATCTATAAATATGCACCTAGAGTTTGAGATCATTTCTTGAAAGATATCGCTATTCGATGAATAATTAATTCAAAGAACAGCACAAATAGAAAAGCTTGTTAATGTATACGTTGAGGTCCATATGTAAAACATCTTTATGCATAATGATAATAAGTTCGAAACGTGTATGCTAACATTAGCGTTTTCAACAAACCCTGTAAAATCGCTAACTTCAACCGAAAGAACAGTGTACATTGATACCGGGCAATGCCAAATTGGCAATCGCTTTTTGAGTTTTTCGCGACAGCCTTTCTCTAAGAGAGACCGGTCTGATTTGTGAATATCTGCAATTTACATAATATCTAGATGTTCAGATATTCAGATATCTTCCTCTTTTCTTTGAGGGTGGCGAATATCAAGGAGCACCTCACTCTCATCTGCCCCTGCCACACACACCTTCCCTTTTCCACATTTCTAGAACATCTGAATATCTAAATATCTAGCTTGAATATCAGAATAGCTGAATATCTTAACATCTAGATATACATCTAGATATATTATGTAAATTGCAGATGTTCACAAATCAGACCCTACTGAAAAAAAGAAACCAAAAACATGCAAAAAGAACATAACAAGCATAAATGCTTAACTGACAAGCGTTTCACTGGACGAGATACTGAAGTAAAGATGTTTTGAAAGATATAAAATAAGAAAGACAAATAACTGACTCGGGAAGATTATTCCAATCAGTAATAGTTGAATAAAAAAATGATAATTATAATCAATAATATAATAATAAATAATAATTATTGATAAATGAAACGATGATAAATTTTGAAAAACTCTAAAAGTCAGTATTCTCTCTCAGTATTCTCTAGTATAGGTTCTTTTGTGAAAATTTCCTTCAAGTAGTTTGTGAAGTTCTTGATTTCTCATGTTCCTTGTACAATAATAAGAATCCAGAAAGCTCCTCAATTTTGTTACTCGACTTTTTGAAAACAGTAAAAAATGATGCATAAAGAACCAGTTGAACGTCTTCGAATTTCCAACTATAGTAGACTACTGCCATCTACAATGAATAGTTGTATTATCTCATTCCTGTTTTATCTATATTATCACAATAGAAATTCCCCTTCCTTGGTTTGTTTTTCTTATAATATATTGTATATATAAAGATAATCTTTTCTGTAAGTGGACGTTATTGAGGTATAGTCTGGGTATTATTCTTCAACCATGAACGGATGAATTTTTAGCTAGCTGTTGCACTTCGTATGCTGTGAATGCTCTGTTCTCTTGTTTTACGAATTTCGTAGAGAGGAGTTGGAATGACAAATTCTCTGTTCGATCCAGCAGTGGTGACCAAGATGTTTGCTTACTGATCAGCATAAAATATACGCCCACAAAATTTGAAACATTTCTGTCTTAAACGAATTACTGTTGTCTAGAACTTGTTTTGCATAATGTGTTAAAATCTTGTGTAAGTATAAGAACAATTACTGACTTAAATACTTGTTTAATTTTGTTTTCTATAATCGTGCATATGATCATTGTGGATGTATTGTTTTTTTTATAGATGATTAAAGGCTTTTTTTCGAAAGAAGTATTTCTCGAATGAGTTTTTTCAAACGAGTCAAAAAGACAGAGTGATGACATCACTAACAACTTCGAAGAACGTGCGAGATTCAGCTGCTCTATCACGCACTGGTATCTACAGTACACTAGGCAATTTATTATCGGATATTTCGAGTATTGAATCTGATAATATTGTTAATCAAGAGAATTTCCACCAAGATACAGCGCAGGCGTTTGCTTCGTCTAAATCCGGTCGTGTTTATTTCGAAACTGAAAATGCCGTTATCACATATGAAAACGATTTATCATCAATTGAGCATATTCATATTCGTTGTAAACCAGCGTCCACTTTTGATAGAGCCATCCATTTTAATTTAAGTGAAGCAGTATTAGGTATTTATCCAATATATTCTAAAATTAAAAATCCAACCGAAGAGGAATATGTACTTGTACGGGGTATCGATCCATTACGGGCCGCTGGTAGCAGCAGAAGGATTAAAGTTGGTGATTGGCTAGTAGCCATTAATGGTATTTCATTGACATCTAAAAATTTTAATCGAATTTTATCAAAGTTAAATGTAAGTAAAACGCTGCGATTAACCATACGTCATCCAATTAATTATCGTTCAAAATTTTCTCTATCAGAAAAATTTAATGTAAAGCCAACACCAACGATAACATCTACTACGTTAGAACAATTAACACATGATGCAGCTGATATTGATTTTCTACATTGTGCCATGTATTATGGAAGACAAAAACAAACGACGGAAAATGATGAAGAGGAAACAAAAGCATTTGAACTTCTTTATCAACAACCAACACAAAAAGATATTTTTCTAGCTGCGAACGGTTTATTTCCAACATTAATCATGCTTACAAAAGACATGAACAATAACGACAGCAATAATTTGAGAAGGTAATAAAGAATCGATACTTTTTAATTCTATAGCTTATTGTTTTTTGCTTTTTAGTGTTACAATCAATGCCTGCGAACAAGAACTCAATGTCTGTATTACATCTGATACCAATGATTATTATCTAGTTATTATTTATCCCCCACTAAATATTAGTCGTCATATACTTGAATATATAACCAAGAACGTTTCTCGATTATTGCAATTTCTTTTTGGCTCAATTCACCAAGCATTTTTTCCATTGAATCAAAACGACGAATCAGTATTAACTACGTCAAGTGCTGTAAAACATTTTTTCAATTTATTATTTTATCGTTTATACAATATGAGTTCACCAAACGTCTCACCAATATTAAAACACTGTCGTCTGTCTGATGAACTTTACATTGATCAATTTGAGGGTATACCAAAATTATTGACTTTAACTGATGTACAATTGACAAATGTGGATTCTATATTGAATAGTTTAGAATCTCAAGAGTTAAATGAATGTTCAAATGAAATAAATCGTTTTAGACGTCCATCATACGTTTACGGTTGTGTTTTATTTTTTCAATCGCTACTTGTCACCAGTCATCTCTCCAAAACAATTACATTAGATATTTATCGTTTTTTAATACACTATTGTCATTTAAAAATGCGTGAATTACGACCACGTACAACAGAACTATTAATTTATAAAGAAATATTTCTAACGGGTACACATTCATTTCTTATCGTGTTTAGTTTAGCCGAATTTACTTTGGCTGTTGTTGTACAAACGCATGACTCTCAGTAAGTTTTGTCAAAGTTGTTTAACGGAATACTGATCATATTTACTGTTTTTAGATCTTCACCTGATCATGTACTCATAAATCAAATTCAATTCATTTTAGAAGAAATTGAACGAGCTCAATTAACATCTCAAATTCGTCAATCATTTGTCAATAACATATCACCTTGGATAATCTCATATCCATCAAATTTTGTTAAAAAACAATTGAAACGAACAATATCTCTTCCATTGCTATCAGGTCAGTAGTTGTCTTATATAAATGAACGATTTTAATAAACTTTCTTTCAGCTTTTACATCGTCGACTACAAATGTTGAAACAAGTGACACAATTCGAAATGTGCCTGTAGTCACGGAAGAACATTTAAATCAACGAGAATCATCGATTGATACCAGAGCAAAACAATTGGTAAGTCAAAAAAGTGGTCAAGATGAATTATACAAAAATCGTCGTCAGTCATCATCATCAACATTGTCGCTTGAAAATCAAACAAATTTCGCGATCACAGATAAAATGCCATTCAAGTGAGTGCCGTATTACAACTGATCAATTTTGAAACTTTGATTTTTTTTCATTGTTGCAGATTACATCCTGGTGAGAATTCAACAATATTTTACTATCTCGATTTTCAATCGTTTCATGGCTTACTCATAACACCTTATATTACACTTCAAAAGAGTTCAATGACCGATAAACAATTATTTGAAACATTTCAAGAAACATGTCTTAATATACGTTTAAAACATTTTAAAAGAACAAAAACAACAACAACATCAGTTGTGGATAAGTCTCTATTTAATACAAAACAAAAACCTGTTTATAATGAAGTTGGTTATTTGCATGTATTACCACATCTAGATTCGAAAGAGACAACTTCGAAAAAGAATCTACCAGCATTAAATTTTTGGATTGTTGGAAAACAATGTGTGCAAGAATCATTTGTTCACGAATTTTTTGTATGTTATCACGATTCCATTGATCAAAACATTCAAGAATTAGCTTTCTCAATTGGTTTAGCAGCCTAGATTATTTATTTTCATTATGGTTGTATTATTTAGTAGTATGATAGATTTAGTTAATTTAGCCGTATACGCAATATGTTTTTACTTATTCATGTATAAGAAATAACAACGCTTCAATTTTACTAGTAAACATTGACAAACTAAGATGTTATACTAAAGCGTTAAAAATAGCTTTGTCAATATCTTGTTTTGATAATGTATCACTTTCTGAATTGTTGATTTTTAATGATCAAAATGAATTATGTACATTAGTTATGTATGAACCAACAAATTTAGACTAATATAAATAGCTTTTCAATGGGTTCTTGAAAAATGTATTTTCGTGTGATTTTATTTCCTCCATATCTATGAAGAGAATTTGAAATCTTAACTGAACAAAGCGAAACATCTTTTTCTATTTATGCCCATCCATATCCATAGAGAAATGACCAAAATTAAAAGATGTCTATGTAACATATTCATCTAATATCGATCTCTAAACAAACTTACTTATGTGACATTTTGAGAGATAGATTGTCAAACAAAACTATTTATTGATATATAATGAAAAATTTGAAACTAATTATGAACGTTTTTCACTTCACATTCGATTAGTAATTTCTTTTATAAGAAATCGTTTCCATAAACATATTTTTCTATTATAACCAATGTTATCAGAATCATCATTATGCATTCAACATTAATAGTAAATATTCAAATACAAAATTTGAACTGTTTACAATTAATAACATATTCACATGGAGTCAAAAAGAATTCAAGAGATGTTAATACAAGTAAATACAACGGTCCAATTCAGGCTCTATCAAACAATTAAGAAAGAAGAAAAAAATGATTATAGTTTAATAATTTAAAATAGTCTTTTCTGCTAAGATCGGGCAAGTATTTTTTACTTTTATAGAATTCAAAGACATCATGAATTTCACATCATATGATCGTTCATGATAAATTAGAAAAACAAAAATATAAAATTTCTTATAAAATTTATGTAATTGCCTCACTATCTCGAAAAAGATAGAAATTAATTAATTCAATAATATAGTCGTTCATATTGTTCATTGATAATATCTTGTTTAAGAATAAAAAGAAAACATTAAACATCTGTATTAATCAAGATTTTGTAACACGTGTCAAGACAGTGACGATAGAAAGTCAAAATAGTCGTCAAAATGTTAAGAGTTGCTGTTATTTCAATAAGATTATTTCTTCAAATAAACATGATTTGCAGAAATAACATTATATATCATACATAGTTTAAAAACACCTAGATATTCTGTTTATTTTTATTTTGTATAATAATAGTCAGTGATCGCTAATTTATTTGTATAGAGAAAAATATTCATGCGATAAAAAGAAACATATTCATCACGAAAGTGCTATATTGGAATCTTAATTTTCTCCATAAAAGAAAATCTAGTACAAAAGCTTATTTTATTTCTTACTTATCTATCTACCAACGTTCTTATTCTGGTACAATACTATTTATTTAATATACTGTATATTCTAGACATTAGTATACGTTGTTGCATCCAGGTTATTATAGCATGAAAGGCGCCGATCGTGATCAATAATGACCGTATGAATAACAGCATTCAGATCAACATGCATCGACATATACCACTGTTATATAAACGATCTCGTCGTTTACTTTATTCATATTCTTATAATGCGAGTAACGTTCGTCGATCACTATCACATAAACAAAAGTTAAATGGAGTTAAATCAGATCAAAGCTTCCAGTCGAGACACTCAAAAGTTAGCGAGAGTGATGAGCTTACAAATGATATAGACACAGTTGAAAATGTTATCGTTACATCAAGACAAAATAGAGGATATTTTGGAAAATGTTGGACAATTTGGAATGAAATTATTGAAGGAATATCGACTTATACCTTTGGTAACGATAAAGTACAAAATGAAAAAATACGAGCAAAATTTATATTACGAACAGTATTGATTTATATCATTTTTATTACAAATATATTTATATCATCAGTCAGCATGTATTCGACAGACGCATTTCGTCTAACAAATAGTTTTGAACAACGAATTATTGGTGCTCTGTTCGACATGGACCGTGGAGCAGAAGCACTTGAAGAACCGTTGCCAAAAGACTTAGAGGAAAAATATGCACATTTATGGAAAATTAATTTTACGAGTATTACCAATTTTCGAGAGGTACTGATGGGAATGATAAAACGGAAGATCGACAGCTGGAATTCCGCCATTGTCGCTTTTTCTCGATATTCAAAATCAAATCTGATTTTCGACATTGTCGAGTTTCAGGTTGTTTTTCGGCTATTGTCGTAAGTCCTCGTAATTTCGACAATTGTCGAAAATCCATCGGCATCTCGACAAATTACTAAATATTAGTAAAAGTAGTTCAAGTGGCACAATATCAAAAACGTTCTTCATAATGTTCACATTTATCGAAAGCAATAGATTAAAACAGAATCAGTGAACTGTAGCCTTTTCCAATAATCCAAACAATAACTTTGTACGCAGTCCCTCTGCCTGTCTCTTTCCTTAGTCTATCATTTCACTTCAGTTACAAGTGAAATGAAATAATCATAATCTACTAGTCTGATCGTATAATATTGAAAAATGATTCCTGGTATTATTTAGAATACACAGATTATGGATTATAAAAACACAGTGTATTATTTTATTATTATGCACTGTGTATGATATTAAAAATTTCACTTCCAGTACAACTGAAAATTACTGTCGAAATTCCGTTGGATTTTCGGCAATTATCGAAGAGATAAGAGGCATAAGAGGCAAGTAAGGACAAGTACTTACAAGTAAACTTACTTCTGGCAAAAAGGCAAGTACCGGCTTCCTTACGCAGACGAAGTACTTGATCCAAGTACGTTCTCTAGGGAGATGGCGATGTTCTAGGATATCATGGAAATGATTAATCAGCTGTTTTAACATTCGAAACGGCTGTAATACTGTTTTTGATATGATGTGATGTATTTTGAATTTAGATATGGACATTTCTCAATATTTCATTAGTCAACACATTATTTCAATCATACAAATGGTACAACAGAGGTTGTTTTCCACATTTCTTCCAAAGTCTATGCTCGTTTAATTCTTTGCTATATTTATTACAGCGATTGATTTGGCTCATCCAGTAAAATGGCTACTGTATCATAATCTTTTAATTGGTGTGCCAAGGTATAGTTCTTCTGTCCCTCTAATTGGTCTGTCGATAGAATAGGATATTGTTCCTTTCTACAGGATTCGACAAGTACGTTCAAGACGTTGGCCTTGCAATACACACCAACGTTTTTTGGATGAAATTACCGATTGTTATGGAGCATACACTGAATCAAATGAAGAACGAGAACCATGTAATCTTTAATATATATCAGTTTAAAATTTGCACGTAATTAACAGCATATTTTCTTCTTTAGTTGGTCCATTGACCGATCAATCATTTCGTCAACGTCCACTCAAACTACGTCAGCCATGGAGATATCAGAGTCCAGTTATTACAAAAAGTGGCATAGTCAAAGGCCGTTTTGCTACTTACGGTGGTGGAGGTTATTATGTTGATCTAGGTAGAAATTGGATCAATATAGGGACTAAAATATGATAATATATAATATCTTTGTACAGGCATTTATAATCGAACATTTCGTCGTGTTATTGAAGAATTAGAATATTTAAGATCAGAGAAGTGGATCGATCATGGTACGCGCGCTCTGATAATTGATCTTGTATTGTACAATCCAAGTGTCAACTTGGTCAGTATAATATAGCGATGTCTCTTTTATTCAATAAATAAATATAACTTTTTCTTTTTATGTTGTAGTTCTGTTACGTTAAATTAACGATTGAATTACCAGAAACTGGTGGAGTATTTCCACAATATAAAATTGAGGCTCGTCGATTATTGCGTTATTTTACACTCATCCATTCTTTTGTTTCCGGTTGCGAAATTAGTTGTGTTTGTTTTACGATATTTTTTCTCATCGCCGAAATGATTAAAATAATAAAAATGAGATGGAAAATATTTTTAGGATTATGGAATTTAATGGATATGCTTTTTTTGACCATATCCGTTCTTATAGTCTACGTTAATCTTAAACGTATTTTAAACGTCAACGGAAATGTCAACGAAAGTGGAAAAAAGGTGTGGGAAACCAATGGTAAGTGGTTCAGTTGTACAATTATTGCATAACGATAAGCTGTGTTTATACTCAGTAAACCTACAGTTGACTATTCAGGTGGGCAAATCTTTGTGATCTTGTAGAATCTCATATCATTTTACAAAATTTCTCGAAATTCTAGGAGATTTCATATGAAGCAGAGTTCCTAATTCTATATAAGATTTTTCATGATAACTTTTGTGGAGAAACTTGTAAAATCTTATGAGAAATTTATCTGAACATTGAAACTGATATGGCTGCTTTTTTGCTATCAATCTTCCTCCCTCTCGCTGTTTTTTCGTTTTTTTAATATTTTCTAGCATAGTTAGGATTATTGTCCTGGGATCGTATTTAGTCATATTTCTAAGCTTTGCACTTTATTTTGTACACAGCTGATCGCCCTAGCGGAACTTGTTGTACGCAAGATCTTGGGAACAAATTTCAAGAACTTGAGCGAATCCACTCAAGATGTTGCGAGCGAAAAATGTTGCTTAAGTGTAAAATTCTCCTTACTTTTCGGTTCATTTATGACAATCATAGCCATCAGATATACGACCATATAGAATCATGGACTCTTCCTTGCACAACTATGTTCAGAGAGGGAAAAAATTCTAAGTGATTGTAAGTGCGAAAGTATTCACACTTATATTTACACACGAGTGTAAAACGATGATTCAAGAATTTCGAAAATCTTGAGTACAAAATTCAATCACTCAAGATCTTGACTTCTTGAGATTTCTTGAATTCTTACATTTTCTTATCAAGATCTTACTGGAAAAATCCAAGAAGTCAAGATTTTGCATACAAGAGGTTCCACTAGAGCGGATAAGTTGAAGTGAGAAAAATTGTTGGTTTGATCTCTTATTATGCTCAATAGCAAATTTTTTTCCAACCAAAACTAGGAAAAATACGACAAAAATTTCAAAAGGTATCTCTTTTTACCCCAAAATACTTTATATTGTAGCAGTACGACTTCTGCAGTACGATGATTCATCAATCTTGTGTCATCTTGTAAGATGGTATAAGGAGAGAACAAATGTAGCTCAACACTCTATGTCGCAAGACTCAAGAAGTCATATGAACTTGTAATCTTATGATCGTGTACGATCTTGTTACTGCTTGCTGATCGATTTAGTAAATTCTAATAATAAAAAGTGACAAGAAATAGTATGATCTTACATGTTCTTATGTCAAAATTTTGTAAAATCATATCAGAAGATCTTATTATAAGATTTTAGAATACAATAGCAGATGTTGTAAGATCTTAGAAGATGTGTTTCAAATGGGTATAGATCAGCCGACTTCTCAATAATAGGATTTACATTTGAATACTTTTAGTGTATAGTATGACACATGATACGACATTAGCGCCAAGACGACGAGATCAAGCTTTATTCGATACACTCATGGCTTTTTTATCATCATTAAGCATCATAAGAATATTTAAATATGCCGATTTTAGTATTGATCTAATCTATATCAAAGCAACATTGAAACTATGTTTTGGAGATTTATTTGGTTTTCTCATCATGTTTATAGCCATTTTGATTGCATACGCTCAATTTGGTAACTTAGTTCTAGGTAAATGCTTATTTTCAATTAATATATATAAATTTTCATCGTTCTTCTCTTTCATAGGAGCTCAAGTTCCCTCATTTTCGACAGTTGGAAATGCTTTTGTATCTTTGTTTCGCACCGTATTGAGTGATTTTGACTATAAGGCTATTGAAGAAGCAAATTCAATAATTGGACCTATTTACTTTTTCACTTATGTGTTCATTATCGTCTTTGCCTTATTAAATATGCAACTGGCTATTCTTATCGGTACATTTTCAGATGTTAAACAATTAAAAGATGAATATAAACCATTACGAGTTCAACTGTGGCCAGTTGTTAAAGATAAAATTAAAGCATTTTTAAACGATAATCCACGAGTTCATGAGAGATTAAAATTTATTACACGATTTTTACTAGCAGAATGGAATGAACGACATACGATCGGATATCAAATTAAAAAACTGAGAGATATAGGTTATAAAAGAAAAATTATTGATAAACTGTTAAAAGATTTTGATCAAGAAAAAGATATTATGATTATGACCGAAGAAGAGCGAAAAGAATTTCGCGATTTTGCTCAACAAGAATATTTACAACAAAAAGAAATGTTAAAAGGATTATTTCAACATGGGTATGCACACACTAGATCAATTAAAACAATCTACATATTAAATACTATTATTTATTTTTAGAATGCCGTTGAAATATTTAATTGAAGAGCAAGAATTTCATTGGCGAGCGAGATCTTTTTGTACCCCACAGGACTGGAAAACATTACAGTTTCGTTCATTGCGATTTGAAGAACTGTTAACGCTAACTGAGGCCAAGGTGATTTATGCTCTTACATCCTCAAATGAAGCAAAAAAGAAACCATAATGCATAAAAAAAATATAATTTGCTGATGAAAGATTATGATTTACGGCATTAGAAATACATTTGCGAATTGCGTATATATAAGAAATTTGAGGCTTAACGTGAATATTGTTTCAGCACTACAGTATCATCTTTTATATTCGTTGTATTGCTAAATCAACAGCAAAACATGTATAGAATCGAAAATGCCTTAAAAAAAAATAAGTAGAAGAGGAATATGCGAACAACTGTTAATTTATTAATCGGAACATGTGGTGAGACCTTTTCATTCTACAATTTTTTTATCTAGTTGGTGTTTTCAATATTGAATCTGTAATGCGTATCTCATTTATCATCAGACTAGAGAACGATAATATATTGAAAGACAAAGACGAGATGGATCAAAAAGACCATTTAATGTCGTACAGATAACAACAGCAACAATAACAGCAGAAAAAAGAGAAAATATAAAAATATCTTTTTAAAGCGTGGAACCTTTTCTCTTTTCATATAGAATAGACATAGAAGGTTCTTTTTCTTATTCATAAATATATATAAATTATACATATGATTTAATAATAATCTATTGTCGAAATGGATGAATAAACTAATAGTATAAATATATATTGATCATGTACAATTTCTTTCAAAATTTTTTGTAATAAATTCGTCTGAAAATAGTGATAATAAGTATGTATAAACAAAACAAAAAATATTTTTATGTTGTCAAATTAAAGAGAGTGTTATCGGTCCCATTTTCATTAATCATTATGATGAACAAATAAAATATACCGTCATCAAATTGTACACGTTGTGAATCATGTCTTTGTAAACTTTTGAAAGTTTATGATTTTCCTTACCGTTGAAGAGTATTAACCTTTTTGGGTAAAGCAAGCATATTTAGAATTCTGAGATGTGTCGTTTTTGTTTAGAAATACAGCAATTTATAAACTCAACACATTTCTTGCGTTGAGTGATTCAATAACGTTTTTAAGTATTTACTTTATAATTCTCTGTACGGTTAGAAATGTGTGGTGACTGTTATAGGATAGCAATCCCGACATTAAAGAGATAATTATCCAGCACATAATTTAGAATACATCTGAAAAAAGAATTTATGTTAGTTTCTTTCATCAACTTCCTATTTTAACACCTTTTTAGTGAATGGTTAGTTGGATGACTCGTAAAATGATACTGCTTTCTTACCCAATTTATTGGATAAATTATTAATTTAGATTAAAAAAAAAAGTACAACTGTTGTTTGTTTTTTTCCCCTCTCTTTTCAACTATATATCATATTTTCACTGACAATAACAACATTCCCTCCCTCCATCAAATTATCATTTAACCTTGGTGTAGTGCTGCTATTTATTATAGACTTTCACATTTTTTCTGTTGTTCTGTAATTTTTTTTCCATTGGTTTAATATTATTATTTCCAACTATGTTTATTAGTCTCTCTCTCCTCCCGCTATATACTACTCAAGATATTTCTATTATAAACAAACAAGTCATCATACATGCATGAAAAATAGATAATTGTGTGTGTCCATGCGAGAGAGAGGCTTTGCTGTTCTTGATATCGACAACGTGGTAATATAATACACAGTTTACTAAATGATGTTACTCACTAGATAAATATAGAGAAAAGAACAAAAAAAAAAGACTGATGCCATAACAGGGGAATTCTCAGTAGTTCTAATTTAACCTTACTTATCTTCTTGACTGATTTGAAGAAATTTCCGAAGATTTTAATCTATAGACTTTTTCTTTTATAAAGATAAGTCTTGATATTAAATAAAATAAGGATAATGTAAAGAATTGCGTTGTTACTATTTAGTTAGTATCTAATTCATTTTGTACATGTAGTTTCAATTGATATACAAATAGATAATGAGTCAGAATGCAATTTTGTTTATAAACAATAAGTCAGGCACATACGTGATGATAATCAGTGTACTGTCATTCAATTTTAGGTATAAATATATTGTAATATTAAATATTTATTTAAAATGGCTCGTTCGACGTTTATTAGTTTTGATAATGATCAATCCTCACACAATTACTCACCAAATGCAAAGGAAAGAGAGTCTTTTTTTAACGATCATACTACAACCGGTGTCCCAGCATCAAATAAAATATTACATTTTCATCATCGTCTAATGCCCACCATATCATCAAGTAGTCGTACTACAGCAATGCCAACGATCATTTCAGCAACAACACAACAACAGCCGATTATAGGCGGTAATAGAAAGCTTCTTACTCCGCAAATAACGTTTTCCTCTGCTGCTGCTGCCACTACTCAATCGAAAGATGAGAACAATTTTTTGTTTAACAACATATTGGATTCTGAAGATAGTCTAGATAAATTTTTACCAACAACACCTGTTGATAATAAAACACGTTTAAATCCAAAAACGAAACGAAATATTCGAGGAAAACGTCGTTCAACCGGAATTCATCCAGAATCTATAGTAGCACAAACTTCAGATGAGGTAAATAATTTCTAAAAAAAGCGTTCATCGGTTGGTTGATTAGTGAAAACTTATATATTTTTGTTTTTAATTAGGTTTTTTCTCCGGGTCGTGAGGATGATTCACAGCCGACAAATGATCAAATAATTATACGCCAAACGTCTAATTCTGATTATCATGATGTAAATAAGTTGGTATGTTTATTGTGTAGATATGTGACAAGAATGGTTAAACATGTATTTATCCATATTTCAGCCTGTAAGCCCGCAATATTTTACCGTAGACAGAGTTAGAGGGTAAGTAGTAAGAATCATTTAAGATGTCTTCATCGGAGAAGATATTAATTTTCAATAGACCATTGAATTCCAACACATCTGTCGATGAGAGTAGAAGAACATTGCTAATTCAATCAACACCAGGTAATATACAACTTTTTCTTAGTAAGACAAAAATTACATACAACTACAAAATATAGATTCTCCTTACTCAACGACAACTACAAATTTTAATTCGAAAATATCACCAACTTCAGTTGGTTCTTCTATGATATCTAAAACCTTCGTTCCCGAAGAATTTGTATTCAGAACGCGGGTAAGTTCTAGTAATAGAAATATCATACACTTTTTAAAGAAAACTTCTATAATTATCATTAACTGTACAGCAATCTCAAGAAGATAATAATCAACGACTATATCTAGAAGAAAGAATAAATGCACTTGAAACATTATTACTGGATAAAGACTCAATTATTTACGATTTACAACGAAAATTAGACAATTTGACGAGAGTATGTTAGCATGTTTTGAACTGTCATTTAAACTTGTTTCGTATACTTTATTGATTTAGGACTTATCGGAAGCTGAACAAGAAATATATGTATTACACAAAGATAAACTATCGCTCATTAGAGCTCTAAGTGTTCTTCCAGCGAGTCCACCTACAACACCATCAAAAGGCTGATTTCTATCATTCTTATGTTCTGAAAAGACAATATATGTACAGATATGAACAGTTTTTTGTTTTGTCTTTGTTGATATTGTCTAAATTTTTTTTTATAAATGGTCTCTATATTCACAACTTAAATAATTATAACCGGTGAAATTCACACAAAAAGTCTTAACATAATTAGGACTGCGTAAACTGAGCATTGTTTTCATTTGAATTCAAAACTGAATTAATTGTATCTTTCAGAGTATCATCCGTTTGAAGAGTATGTATAGTTAGTTAATAAACGACAAAGATTAATTAATAACTAGAGCCTTCTGTTGTTGTCATCATGCATGAGCAATAGTCTATGTAAATAGTATTCTTTTTCAAATATATGTTTCATCATTAAATTGTAAAATTACAAGCATTCGTATGTTATTCTAAAATTCTGATTTTTACTCTTTGTACAATATCATGTCGATCATTTATAACTCAATTGCGTGGTCAATAGTCGTTCTATCTTTAAATATTTATAAAGGTTAGTCTGTTAAAATACCAGTAGATTATGAATTATTTGTTATCACCTTCTAACTTTTAGTTTGCGGTAGTCCTACTCGGCACACTAATCCAGCGATATGTCGATTAGTTCAGCTTGACATTCCGCCATTAGTTGCTACCACTTTGACAAATATTTCACTTCCTAATAATTCCACTTGGTTATTTTATAACACTGAAAACATCTGTAATCGAAAACCTGTCTATCGTTCGGTATGGAACAAAGATTGGTAAGTTACAGTATCAAAATATAGATGTATACTCATATATGATTGTTCTGTTCATATTGTTAAAGGTATCAATTGATGTCACCAACGAATCAATGGACATTCTACGATATGAAAAATATGGTATATGAAGAAAGTCCTCTTGTATGGTGTTCAGCTTGGGATGCAGTACCCCTATTTTCAATGCCACTCAGTTATTTTCAACATCCAGTACGAGTGCCAAAACAGCGATGGCAAAGAATAATAGTTTATGAGGAAAAAACATATGATAAACACAATATTACGTACAAAAACATGCACGTGCCAAGTAAGAGAGAGAATAGATTTTGAAAGGAACCATAGCTACATAATTGAAGTGCTGTTTTTTCTTTTTGTTTAGGCATGAATCTTAAATGTTTTCAACCTCAAAAAGTTGATTGTGATACAAAATTATTAACAATTTTGTTCGATTTGACGAAACGAACCAAAAAAAATGATTTGAAACAAATGAAATTGTTTGCCAAAACGATGACATGGCTTTTATCCGAAATGTGTGAGATCAAAATATCTGTAACCACTATTCGACATTCTCTCGAAACAATAAAACCATTCGATGATTTTAGTGTTGATAATGAAAATTTATTCGATGTCATCGACACACTAAAACTTGAAGATGAAAAATCGGTAAAATCCCCATGGTCGATCCAATGGCCAGATGCCATACGATTTATTGTTACTAAAGTATTTAAAAATACTTTTCAATTACCACTTAAGTTAAATAATCGAACAAAAGCGAAATTACGTAGTAAGATAAAAGAGTTAGTTTTAACACCTAAGAAGCGAAACGCCTCACAACATTCACAATTTTGGAATGATTGGAATATAACTGCTGCTGATAAGCTATTAACCATGCGAATCGTTACTGAAACAGAAAATCTAAGCAGAAATAGACGTGATGTTGTTTCGACGAACAGTGAAGAGCAAGTGCTATTAATTTTATCTGCACGATCAAACTCTATCTTTGAATTCAATGATAAATATGAACGCTTGGAACAATTCGTATCAAATATTAATAAAAACATTAATAAAACAACAAATTTTACACATTCCAAATCAGTTCGTCTTGTGTTTGTCGATTTTGGTTCCATTTCGAATCAAAAAATTCATGAAATGTATCATTCATCTTTTCTAGTCAGAGCAAAACATTCATTATCATCCACACCAAGACGATACAATTACATTGAAACATATCAAGATTTATTCGATTCTGTACATACCTATTTATTCGACAACGTTCAACGTCTATATCGATCACCCTTCAGTCACCTTAACCCATCTCTATTAGAAACGACTCGATTAAAACAAAAAAATGTCACCAATTCAAACGTTTGTCAAATACTAGTTTTAGAAAATGAAACAGGTGAAAGTAACAGTACAAATAATAATCATCGTTCACGTAAAATTCTCAACACATTTGAATATACTTTTTACAAAACGCATTACAACTGTTATACATCATCGGTTTACAGATCAATTGCAAATCGAAATATGTATCTACAGAAGGATGCTGCTAATCGGTGGATAATCGTGTTAGTCGATCCAGTATCAACTATGCCATCATCTTTCGAGTTCAAAAAAGAAAACTTGGTTAATGCGATGAGTACCATTTATTCTGGTGAGTAAAAAAGGCTAATCTATAAATATTCTTTCGATTATATTTTTACTCTATTGAGATTTGGAATATTCAACTCAATCTTCATTCGGAAACTGGACAATCATAAATGATGATTTAGCAGAAATTTTTAATGTCACCATCCAGGATCTACCGTCCATCGCTCCATCTTGTTCTAAACCTGGAGTTGAAATACTTTTTCAAAGCATCAATATCTATTTACAAAATGATCTTGAACCAAACGGAATTATTAATTGGTCATTCAAAAACTATAGTTTCAATACTTCATATGATAATATGACAAGTCATTTTTCATGCAATACGTTTGAAATATCTTGTACGGGACTCGATCTGCTTGTATTAATTGATTTATCTCGTAGTGCTGAAAGTTGGAAATATTTGACAGGAGATTATCCAGAGCTACTCTATCATTTGCGTACATTTCTATATGTATTATTGTCATATCTTGATTCGGAGACACTTCGTTTTGGAATGATAATTATCCTTAGTAACGAAGATAGACTAATAATGCCAATTGAAACAGTTAAAGATAAAGGTTCCGTTATCAGAAATGTCAATATGACCCTTCAAACTCTCTTATATAAAGTTGGACAATCTACAATATCACAGAGCCGTATGAGCGAAACTATTAGTTTTGCAAGCGATCTATTATTGAATAATTCGTTGTCAAACAATCGACATGTTCTTCTAACAATACCAACAAATATCAGTTTATCTTATAGTATAGATGAGATTTCTCTTATTCGAGACGTTATTGATAAATATTCTATGGAACAAATTCGTTATATAGTTTTAGATCCTATGCTTCGCACTAACAACTATATGAGAAATAAACAATTTTATTTAAGAGAATTGATTCTTCGTAGTATGGCATCCAAACCGTATATTCTAAATTATTTTTCATCTTATGGTGCTCACCGTGATCTTACGTTCGGATTAGTATTTGAAATTCTTGACACTTTATGCGGAACACTTTCTTTTCGTTGAGTGACTGTATCGTAATCGGCTCTTAATTCCACTTCTGCAGCAGACTAACGTCAATGATTATTCTTTGCTATGATGAAATAACGAAATTTTGTAAATATATAATTGATTAAAACAAAGTGCTGATTTTTTCTCTTTTCACTACAAGACAAAACTTGAGAATGTTTTATCTTGTAGTCAAATTCCGATAAGTATTTGTTAGAAAGCACGCATGTATGTGTGGTATATCATACTAATCAATTGTTGATTGTAAATTTTATATTTTTGAGCTGTTTTTGACGGTTTAACAAAACAAACAAACAAAAAAAAAATGAAGATACAAATATTTTAAAAACGCATATACTGTATCACAGAGAGAAGTTGTTTTTTTCCTATTATTTAATAAAAAGAAACCCATTGATATCATACGAGACAAATTGTAATGTATATGTATATATACACACATATATATATATATATATATATAACGAAACAACAACAGAAAAATAAAATGATTTACATATGAATTTAGAGAGAGAAAAAAATTCAACAAATAACAGCAAGAAAAAAAACCAGCGAATTAGACAAAATTTCACTTTATAGTATCAACAACAGATATCATAAACAGTTCTAGAACAGAAGAAAAAAAGATTAACAATAATAAATACATATATAAAGAGAAAAACAAGTACAAAGTGCTATTTGATATGTCGAAAACGAAAAATCAGACTTTTAACATCAATATTGAGAAGAATATTTTGTATTGAACTAAAATCGATTTTCTGTGAACAACCTTTTTCTAATGTATCCATTATTATGAATGATGCGATAACTTGTTAAGACAATAGTCAAAATAGTACCAGATATAGTACAATATACACTAGCTAATATAATAAAATACACTATGATTTAAGTCGAACGATAATTTAGTAAAAACTGAACAATCGTATTTAATTTTGTTAATGAAGTATTTATTGCTGGTTGTATTATTATTTAAGCAATAAACAAAATGAGGAGGAAAATTATGATCACAGTTATCTGCAGTAATTTCATCACATCGTTATTTTAATTCATGAGTTGTCTTTGGTGTTACATCTTCTATCTGATCGTCATTTACTTGTTTAATCAATGATACATTAGTTTTTTTCTGAGTCACCTTTACTCGTTTTGTTTTACCAAGTGAAGTCCCGGTTGAAATCCTGCTATTCTTCCTTCGCTATAAAAAGAAAACAAAAAATAAATTGTACATGCATACACAACGCTTTAGCAAGTTAAGATGCTATGTACAGCATTTTAGAGCACAAATCTAAAACATTTTCACGTTCAAATTAGGACCATTAAATTAATTAGAATTAATTAGTATCATTAAATATATGCGAATGGAAGGGAAGCAGGCTGCAGCTTATACATGCTCTCATACGTAGTGCCATCATCTATCCAAGTCTATAGCTACGGCGCCGTAATGGCATTGCAAATGGCGGAATGATGCTTTATGGACAGTATATAGCACGTAAGAGCGCTATAACAGGCCATAAATCTAGTAGAATTTATGTGTTTATATTACGTGCCGTGTCGTTTACGGTCGCCGTATATAGTTGACTATAAACTAATAATAAAACAGAAGAGTCTGTAGTGCGTACACGGCTCCGAGCCACGGTAGTCAAAGGCACACGTGCCCATCACCTCTTTTATTCTGCTATCACTTATACAAGTATTTATAATTGAAAAAGCTTATATTCCGAGGTACAACACGTTTGACTAGAAAAATGAGACTAACGCATATTTAGAAAGTTCAAAACTCCGTGATGACACAATATTTTTTCGAACGAAAAATCTCATTTTTGTAAAAGACTGTACTTTTCTGTGAAAAATGAAAATAGGAATGCTTCTAACCTTCAAATATGCTTTGCGATCCTGAGAATGGCATTAGGTCATTCACATGACACTAGTCTAATTGTGGACTAAGACAGTAATTAATTATTGAGCTCATTTGATCAAAGAGAGTAAAAAAGTATTTTATCTCCGTGAACCTGTAGCTAAATATGTAGTATTGGAGTACTTTTCCATCATAAGCGCACTTTACGGCCGGTTACGGTGTCGCTTCAGACTGCTATCATAAACAAAAATAGATACGATAGCTGGAAACGGCCGCTGGAAATCACCGTTACTTAGCATTGAAGACTGTAGGAAACGACCACGAGAGCTGGCAGCTGTAACTGGCCATAAATTACTGTTTAAGATCGTGTTTCAGTCACCCGGGTATCTGTTCTTCAACTTTCATGCAAAAAGAGGTAAAAAGAACTTTTATTAGATATCGATGAGTGCGTCGATTATAGATATATTATTTAAGCGGAGACTAGCAAAAATACAGCCAAATACCGCCTTTTATGTTAATTGAAGATTGCCATTGCCAATCCTACCTTAGTATCCACTGTTACTGTTTTTTGATCATTGAAGTTGCTAAAAGAATATGAGGTTTCAGAACATCTATGCGTACACTTTAATTCAATTTTCACTGGATATAGCGCAAAGTTAGGTTCTAGTACGTAGATTCTTCTTTTGACGATAGTAAAGACATATTATACATAGTCATACCTTGCATAGCGCGTTAGACGTGTACAAAATTGATTCCACCTAAAAATAGCAGATAATGGTCAATTAGAACTGCTTCAAAGAGGCTGAGCACACCAAATTACCAGTGTACTTTTTGTCCTGAAATTTTTTCTGACGATAACAGTTGGATTGAAGACATGTGTTGTACGGGAAAATTTTTTGTCAATGGATCATCGTTGTGCATCATAAACTAAGAAGGTAAAAAGCAAATTTCAATCTAATGTCATGTTAATAACAAAGACTATAACAAAGATGATTTACCTCTTGAGGAGTGAACACTTGATCGCAATTAAAACAGTGAACGCAACGATAGTCTGGTTCAGTAAACCATAATGGAAACAGCTGTCCAGTCAATATTATTTCTTTATTGTTTATGGTTTTGGAATGTTTTATGACTAATTTTGCTATTTCATCTGTCGCAGTACATTCTCTCGCCTTCATGGCTTTTTGCAGATCAACGCTTCTTGTACGACAAATTGGTAATGTTAATTCGACTGGCTTCGGTTCAGATTGTGATTGTGATGGTTGATACCTATGAATGTTTGTAGCAAAACTGTTATTATTGCTAGTACTTTTAGCCTTCACTGTTATCGATTCAAGACTGGGATTTCTCAGTACTGTTGGCGTAGAAGAAGAGAAAACAGGATGTTTAGCATGTAATATTGTAGGCAATGGCACTAAGTTTGACTGAGCTTTACGCATGACTAATTGTGGCTTATTTAAGCTGCTTGCTGCCGCTGTCAAAGTTGTTGGAGATAAATCTGGAGTTTGTTGGGTATTGAAACTAGAAAACGTTGGAGCAAACGGTTGATGATAGTGTGAAGATTGCGATTTTGTGCATGGCGAACTAATCACTGGCGCTTCTTGTTTGCAAGTTGAACGATATCGATCGATGTCATGTGGATGTCGTGTGCGTTGTTGTTGTCGTAGTTGGGGATGAGCGAATTCCGGTGGAGCATTGAAGATTGTTTGAGACTTCCAAGGTATTTTTTTTGGCGTGTGGGTACCTATCATACCCGGTGTGTTAATAAATGAATTTGACGATAGTGGACCGACATTCGTATTCGAATAATTGTTAGTGGTACTCTGATCATTATGGATAAATGGTGTTTGAGCAGTTGTCCTGCAAGAATTAATATGTTGTCTATTATCAAGACGTTGTTGTTTCGGTTGACTCATATAAGAATTTTCTGACATATTACGTTTCATACTAGGCGGATGTGTCTGTGGTATCGAGGTTTGGCGATACATTTGTGCGTTTTCTCCTCCTAAATGACTGCAACTTGTGTATGTTGGCTGCGAAGTAGCTTTGAAGTAAAGGAAAATGAAAAAAGTTTAGAGATAATGAATATTGTTGAAAAGCTTAGTGTACTAAACAGCTTTGTATACATGGGGCTCACAGAACACTAATTTTTTTCCATCCGAAGAAAAACAAAATGTATCTATTTTTTGAAATTCGATATGATTATGAAGTTAGATGCAATTTTTTAATATATTAATTAATTACTTTTTCTTCGTACTATTTCTTTATTTATTCCAAACGTTTCGATTGATACTTCAATCTTCTTCAGTGGATAACAAAACATAAATTAAATTGATTAAAATTATATTAACAAAACAAAACGAACTGAACAGACAACTGTTTTCTTTTTTAAAAGCTATTAAAACTATTTAAAAACTATTTAAAAAACAACTGGGGTTGTTTTTTCCCCTTTTTGTAATTCGACTTGACAGTCGTTTATAGTTTATATCATATTTTATATCATATATCATATTTTAGTTTTATTATCGACCGACAAGTCGAATTACAAAAAGGGGAAAAAACAACCCCAGTTGTTTTTTAAATAGTTTTAATAGTTTTTGAAAAAGAAAAAAGTTGTCTGTTCAATTCATTTTGTTTTGTTAATATAATTTTAATCAATTTAATTAATGTTTGTTATCCATTGAAGCAGATTGAAGTATCAATTGAAACGTTTGGAATAAATAAAGAAATAATACGAAGAAAAAGTAATTAATTAATATATTAAAAAATGTATCTATTCATTGTATGCCTTAGCAGAAAAACTTCTGAACTGAAAAAGAGGAGGATGCTTTAACACATAATGTATCGATAGCTCGAGGTACGTTTTAAACTCGAGAGCACAAAGAGATGCTATAAAGAATTTTTTTTTTCATTGGACTTTACGTCAAATGTAGATAAAAGAGTTTTTTCTCCGTATGAAAAAAGGACGTCTATATCGGAGAAATGTGAGTCGCTTGTTGTTTTGAGCATGAACAACCCTAGACAAAATGTTTTTGTTAAAACTGATAGGATTCTTATAAGAATCTTATCAGTTTCTTATATAAGATTGTTTAAGATTTCCCATTGACAGTCGTAAGTGTCTTATAAGAATCTTATAAGAATCTTATAAGAATCTTATAAGATTTTCATAAGAGGCTCATAAGAAAAACATAAGAAGGACCAAAAATTCTTATGTTATTAATATCTACTAGAAGGCATCTTATGAGTCGGCTTTTGCGATTTCTGTTATGATTAAGTTACTTCTACTTGCTCTCAAATCTTTTGGGCTAGTAAGTGGCCGTAACGGTCATTTATTCTGATGACTTGTGAGTCGTATTCGCAAAACTGTTATTTTTAAAAATATAAAACTTTTACTAGGATGTATTAACTAGTTAATCGGGCAATATTTTAAGTGACTTACATTCCTATCTAAAATTTTTGTTTAACAATTTTTCCACTTACCTGTTGTATGAGTTGACTGACTACAAGATGTAAATGAGAGATTTTTCGCTTCGTAAGCAATATGTTGCGGAGTCACAGTAGGCCTAGTAAATGGTATAGGTTTTAAATTCGATTGATGCACGGAATTAGCTGATGTAAACGTTGGCTTTTGAATTGAAGATACCTTCACGTTTGATGCCTGTTGATGAACTGTCGATGTAGAACGTGGTAATAAATAGAAGTCGTATTCTAACTGTTGAGAAGCTGATTGATTCGAATACTGAGTATTTCTGCATGAATTCTGATTCGTCCATATCGGATGAGTGGATGTTTGATAACTATACTGATGCTGCTGATGATTTGAAGCTCCCGCTGTCAATGGTTCCGTTTGCCGGAGCTGTGTTGTTGTTATTGCTGGAGTGTCAGATGGATTACAACAAACATCGTACATCGCTGTTTTTGTTTTAGGTATCGACAATGGTAAATGTTTAGATAATTGATTTGGATTTGGAAAATCAATCGTAGTTGAAGAGTGTAGCATATATTCAGACGGACATCTTGGAGGTAGAGTTGGTATCCCTATGGAAGCTAAACTCGAATTCGATGATCTTCTCGAATTACACGTCCTTGCCGATGTTGTTCTGGGCAAGATATAATTATATGGTGTGGAAATTTTTGATAAAGAATTATGTATTTGATCTGTGAAGTGTGAGTTTTGTTTTTCAGGCAATGGAGAAGATAAAGAGATTGCTGTGGTTGATGCGGATGCCGTTAGGCGCTGTCGATCTGATAGAGGTGTAAAAAAAGCACGATGAGATATTTTATTTGTTTTTACCGGCGTATGTGGTGCTGAATGGGTAATATTATAAGGTGTGCGCTCAACATCAATATCTAAAGCAAAAACATCAATGTATGATAGGAATTAGTCGTATGTCCAGATAAGAAAATTTACTTTGATTTATGGGATTCATCTCGAGATCATAAACATTTTCTTCAACATCCACAATCATTGGATATGCTTCTTCTGTGATATCAATAGGCTCCTCTTTTATAGTTGGTTCATCAGTGATAGCATTGCTTGTATTTAAGCTATTCAGATTAGAATTACTCGAGGTAGCCAGAACCACACTATTTGAAGACTGACTCTTAGTACTTGTGCAATTATTATAATGATATGTCGGTACACTATTTGACCGTTTCAATGATGCTGTAATGGTTTTCTCAATTAAATTTTTTCTCGCATGTTCTCCATTATCTTTAAATAATAATGTTTTTGATCGATGCAACTTCGCATTAGAACGATATCCAGAATGTGAACGAACGATTGTGTCAACATTGATCATTGGTGATGATGATACGAAGTTTTTTCGAGAACATTTTGTATTCGAAATTTCTACATTATTAAGTATAATGTTAGTGCATTTACTATCGACAGAAGACGAATTCGATGTCTCATTATTATCGTTCGTATCGCTATTATAAGAATCTAATATACGTCGTTTAAATGATAAATTACGGTTCAAGATACAAGTCTTTGAGTTTGTTGGATGACAGCAATTATCATTCGATTTCATTTGCTCTTCTCCGATAGACTTCTCTTTAAATTGTTTACTAACCAATGTTTTCGTGTTTGAATGACAAATACTAAAGAATAAAAATAAAATAGTCATGATTTTGAGTTACAAGCAGTTTTTGCAAAGCTTTTCTAATCTGTTGGCATGTATCTGCTTCATCTGTCATGATACATGAGACAAAACGTATTAGAATCAACTAGATGTTAACCTTCTCAGAAATCTAAGTCTCAATTCAATAAAATAATACTTCAGTTGTATAGTAGTCTGATTTGTTTTATACCTTGTTAGATCATTTTTGCTATTAATCAATGTTGTATTTGCCATCTTTGAATTATGCTTCATAGACTGCCCGTTTCTATTAGATGACGAACGGTGTCTGTTGTATTGATCTGGTTTTGACAAGAACTTTACTCCAGTTTGTTTGTGTGATGACGATAAAGCGATAGTGTGTTGTTTCTGAGATGAATCCAAAGTATTTAAGTTTTGCTCTACTGATGTCTGATCAATTTTATCACCATCGCAATAACAGGTATTCGATGATGGTTCATTTCGCCTGTCATGTAATTGTTTAACTAACGAATAATCTTTCTGTTGTGACGACGACTGATGATGATCATCATACTGTTCTTGATAAGTTTTTGAATTATTTACTTTATAAAATTCGAATTGATCTTTCAATGCTTTTGTGGGCACGGATGTCAACGGTTCATCTGTGGCTGTTAATTGATTTTGACACTTTTCATTGGAATATATGTTACAACTCACATTACCAAAAATGTAAATACCAAATTGTGGTTGAGTTTTAATAGCTGATAACTGTTTTAGTGATGAATCATCATCGGATGTAACGGGTGGTTCCACTGGTGGTATAGCTACGTTTTTCTGTATAGATGGATTTTTCGACCTTTTTTTAATAATTTTTATTCGCTTTGCAGGCAAAGATAGTAAATGTTTGTTTTTAAACGGTAAATGATATCGATCGATTATTTCATTAGTCACTGTTGTCATTCCACTTGTTTGTAAATGTGTGATTTCTGACATTTCAAATCCAGTATGTGGTGGTGAACAACTTGATGCTGATATTTCTTGATCAGGATGAGGAGAATCACATGCAGAATAATGCTCATTTAAAACTGAAAAAAATTAACATTCTAAATCACACCAATTGTACAGTCCAGTCTCACAAGCGGTATTCCATTCGGAATATTCGAAAAAACTATATTCTGAACGGGGATATATATCTTGATCAGGATATCACAGCATTCGGGCTATGAAATCGGACGTATGGATAATTAAATGACTTCAACAACGTGTTGGTGTGACAGTTGCTTCAGATATTCAGACAAAACGATCTACAGAAGGCATGAAGATACCCACGAACAAGATCACACAGAGGACAAGTCATAGTTAGTTAGTATTTCCAATAATGAAAAATGTTTACTATTCTAAATGTCCCAAGATGGAAACCCTTGAAGTCTACAAGCCTTCAGAACCGATGAGTACGAGAAAAATAATCTTAACTCTCGGTTATTCTATTCACTTTCTCCATTTAGCGTTGTCATTTGAAAACAAATTATTGAACTATCTGCTAAATTTTTACGCAGTAAATTTTGTTCGCGTTGTTAAAAATAACTTACGTGAATTGGTTTCATTGGTTGTCATTAATGTTGGTGTTGGTGTTTGCTGCCTTCTAGTCTTCATTGTTAAATCTTTCAAATTTCGTATGTCATTCATTAAATCGTTTAAGTCTTGTTCACGTGTTATTGTTTCCTTCGTTTCTGATTCACCTATATTAAAAGAAAAAAAAATGAAAAGAAAAAAATATAAAAAAAAGCGTATAAGCATCAGCATCTATAGTAAGTAGTTAAAAAAAGAAGCTTGATGCAAAAATGGATCTATTTTAAAACGTGTGTTTCTTTTTTCTTCTTTTTTACCTTCTGTCACTGCTATTGTTGTTCTCGGTATGCCTTTTAATAACGTTAATAATTTTTGTAAAAAATCGTTATAGCCAATTGAAATTAGACGATATTTAATATCATTAAATTTTTTAATGGATTTTAACGAATCAAGGGCCATTTTTTCTGTTAATGTTACGTGATGAATAATAGAGTTACGAGATGATAATGGAAAACATGATAATAATTTAATATATTCATCACATGTACACAACGGCGAAAACGATTTGTAGTACAAATCTTCAATACAATAGAATAAGGAACCATTACGATTAATCGTCAAAATATTTTGCTCATCAAATGGTAAATTCGTAATACAGTCAGATAATTTTTTGTTTGTTGTACTTTGATCGTCATTCAGCAACTGATGTTCATTTTTCGATTTTCTTTTCCGATCTTCACGTTTATTACCTACAATGGGTTTATCTCCAATAATAAGTTCATTATTTCTTTCGTTAATGTTATATGATTGATCGTTTCTTTTTTCAATTAATTTCGTTATTTCATAATCTTCGTCATTGACATCACAATTATCCTTGGACTTGACTTTATCTTCATTTTGAAGATTTTTGTTGCTGCATTCGAGTAATAATCGTCGTTGTTGTTGTTGTTGTTGCAATTGTTTTTTCGTCGGTTTTTGTAGTTTACGATTTGTTTTCTCTTTGATTATTTCACTTGCATTACCAACACCTCTGAAAACATTACCAGTTAGTTTCTTTTTCATTATTTCTAATGTTTTAATATTATTTTTGGATGAATCATCAACGTCATCTTTTTGATTGTTTGTTTTAACATGTTGCTGAGCTGAAAATATCCAAAATCTCAAATGATTTTTTAAAATGATTCGGATAACCATTGATTATCTGGAATATCACAGGCTTTTCATTTATACACGGTTGGAAATAATTATTATTATTTTTCCAGGGGGGTAGAGCTGAAACTACAAATGATATAAAAATTTATTATATACCAAATTAATGTTCATCTAAAATAGAATTGATGTGTACGACTGATATTCTGTATGACGATAACTGACTGTAGAACTATGGAAGTTTCTATCGAGTGCGTCATAATGATTAAATTCTGGGTGTAGCAGTGCTTTGAGTAA